CCTGCTGTGTTCATCCAGCTCTACACCTTGTTATCTCAGATTCTCCAGCATCTGCAGTTCCTGCTATCTCTCAAACTTCAAGTTGTTGAATTTGCCAATAAATAATTGTGCAGCAGTTACAGAATTCAAGGTATCAGAGAAGAATGCTAGCAATTGCAAGAAGGTATCTAGACAGCTTAAGCTGATGCCTAACAATAAACTAAGCTGCAAAATATGTCAATGAAATATGGCAGAATGGACTCTTAGCTTAAGAATCTCCCTGAACCTTTGCCCTGAAACAAGCAAAAAACATGCATTGCAAACTTCAAAGCCAGCCCTGGACAGTTTTCCAGGTTTATGAAGGGAAACTATTTTATACACTGACAGAAGAACAACTTTTCTCAAATCTTCCCAAAGAAAGTGATGACAGTAACAATGAATAAATTTACGTATAGCTTTAGTTTAAAAAAATTCGTGCACATAAAGTCTGTGTCCATGGAGGATAACACTTCGTTAATAAAAACTAAAACCAAAAATATTTTTTCAATTATCCTCTGCTACAATCATTCAAGACTACAATTTATTACTGTTTGAAAGAGGTAAAGTATTGCAATTTGGCTAACTTTTCATGCGAGGATTGAGAGAATAGTCTCCAATCTGGCCATTCTGCTCAGCTGAGACTGATGGGAGATGATGGCACCACAACTGTTGTAAATTTAAGAATGAAATGAATATTTATTTGTAGATTTAAACTGTAAGTAGGATGATTGAGTGCAATTTTTTCCTCATCGCACTGAAGAAAACTGATGAGAATCGGCGAAAGCAGTAACAAGTTACCAACTTGGATGATCAGCCATGATCATATTAAACAGTGCAACAGGATCAAAGGGCTGAATGGCCTACTCCTGGTTCCTATTTTGTATGTTTCTAAGACTGTGAAATTGAATTTTCAAAAACACTTTGCTCTTTAATTAACAGAGGCAAAAAAACACTTTCAGTCACTACTCAAATTGTGTTTAGGATTATTCAATTGGACAAATGCCAGACACATTGCCACTCATTGGTTATTGTTACACAAATATTGGTTTCTATGCTCAACCCTTTATCTTCTACAACCAAAAAAGGAGATGCAGGGAAAATTGATAAGAGTCTATAATTAAGGATTGGGTGACCTTGAAAAGACACAACACCATCTTACTTGTAAGGAATCTGATGAACTTGGTAGAACTTTTGTTTGTAAAGGGTGAAAGAAAAATCAACAAGCGTCCATAGATATTATTTGCATGGATTTCCTGAAGGCATTTGATGAAGTTCCTCATAAAAGAATGTTAGTTAATGTTTTGAAAGGAAATTAGGAATTGGGAGGTTAGGGAATTGACTGAGTGGAAGGTGACAGAAAATGGGTTAATAGGCAGAACTAACGAGTGGTGTTTCACATGGACCAGTGCTGAAGCTTCAATGGTACAATATATTCTTTAGTGACGTAAATAAGCAAGGACCATAGGTATTTCTCTCAGTATAGCTTGAGACACACCATTTTTCAAGTATGGACAAGGAGAGGAGGCAAGGCTCCATGAAACACAGAAAACCTTATCCAAATTTACCAGCAACTCAAAGTTAGTTGGCATTGTCTGTAGCTCAGATAAAAATATTAAAAAGCTACTATGTTAAAAAAAATGGGCAAGACTATAACAAATTGAACTCAATAGGGTGTTATAAAGCGGAGGCTAACACCCCCCTTCTGGGAACCAAAACACCCAAAGAGGAGCATCTTGCCCTATAATCCGTTAAAAGGAGTGTGAAATGGGGTGTAACCTATCTTTCAGCAACTTCTAGTGGTTAAATCAAATAAATCCCTGACACTCACTTTACAATCAACAGGTAACAATTTATTTATTTAACTCTTAACAGTGTACAAATTAATTAAACTATTAATAAACCAAGCAAATCCCTTCTAACTACTAACCATTCCCAAATAACCCAAGATTCCAACTATGCTGTTCCAATAAATGTAGGTCCCACTTATATAACAAAACAATAGAATTTAGTGTCTCAAAATTAGAGCCGGGTTACATCTTCCAGGATGTTCTGTGTCTTCTCCATCAGGAATGCTTTCGCTGTCAATCCTTCCATCAGGAATCTTAGTTAGGAGTGCCGTGGTACCGTTATGAATAGATGGTACTTTCTCTAAGAGCTAAGAACTGTTATCTTTAGCAGATGGCAATTAGCTCTACTGATTTTCCAACTGCCCCCTCTTTTATACCCGTGATGACATATCAATTTCTTACAATCGGATTGGTCCTAGGCTTGGGGACCGCTTTGCAGAACACCTATGCTCGGTTCGCAATAAACAACTGCACCTCCCAGTTGCGAACCATTTCAATTCCCCCTCCCACTCCGCAGACGACATGTCCATCCTGGGCCTCCTGCAGTGCCACAACGATGCCACCCGAAGGTTGCAGGAACAGCAACTCATATTCCGCTTGGGAACCCTGCAGCCCAATGGTATCAATGTGGACTTCACAAGCTTCAAAATCTGCCCTCCACCTACCGCATCCCAAAACCAGCCCAGCTCGTCCCCGCCTCCCTAACCTGTCCTTCCTCCCGCCTATCCCCTCCTCCCACCTCAAGCCCCACCCCCATCTCCTACCTACTAACCTCATCCCGTCCCCTTGACCTGTCTGTCTTCCCTGGACTGACCTATCTCCTCCCTACCTCCCCATCTACACTCACCTTTACTGGCTCCATCCCCGCCTCTTTGACCTGTCTGTCTCCTCTCCACCTATCTTCTCCTCTATCCATCTTCTATCTGCCTCCCCCTCTCTCCCTATTTATTTCAGAACCCCCTTCCCCTCCCCCATTTCTGAAGAAGGGTCTAGGCCCGAAACGTCAGCCTTCCTGCTCCTCTGATGCTGCTGTGCTCATCCAGCTCTACACCTTGTTATCTCAGATTCTCCAGCATTTGCAGTTCCTACTATCTCTGAAACAATTTTAACCCCACTGCGAAGCCTCTTCTAAGGATGCCTACCCCTCAGATTCAAATTTGATAGGTTTTTGGTATCTAAGTACCTAGTTCAAGTTGATTAGTGAAATTCAAAACCCCTGTTGACTTGGTAAAAAAAATGCTGCTTGGCTTGCTAACGGCATGGCCTTTTGATACAAATGTTTCAGTTTGGGTCCTCTCTATGGTTGAAAACTTTCAAGCTGCTCACAGACATCTCCAAGCATAGAAAAAGCGCAATCTTTTAAAAGGGACCACACAATGCTTCCCCCCTAATATTTTACCAACATCGATATCTTACAAACACTAAATTCTAATGTCCTGCCTCCCAATCCACAAATACTTCTACCCAACTTCACAAAAAAGGTAAATGTAAGATCATCAATATTGGACATAAAAGCATAGAACACTGCAATTCCTAAATAGTGAAAAGCTAAACACAGTTAAGGTTCAAAGAAATGTAGGCGTCCAAATACATAGCTTGCGACTCACCTGGGAGTCTCCACCTCCACTTTGGGAAGCACTGTTGCCACTGTGTGCATGTAGGGGAGGGAGTGAATCTTTAAGGTGATGTTTAGATGCCAATTAACTAGGCTACTTTGTTAGGGATGGTGTTGAGTTGAATGTTGCTCCATTTGGATACAGCAGACAAGCTGAGAGTATTCGATCACACTTCCGTATTTGGTAGAGGGGGATTAGGTAAACCAGAGTTGCTCACCTCAAATTCACAACTTATAAATTGCTCTCACAACCATTACTCATATGGCTGTTAGTTCAGTTGTGGTCAATGTAAGTCCAAGGGATTTGATCATAGAGAATCGAGCAATGTTACTGCTGTCTTAAGATCAAAGAGAGATGGTTAGATTTGGCACACCATCAACCACCTTTAAGGTTCATTCTTTTGACCACCTATACACAGTTGCAACAGAGAGTACAACACGGCTTCCACAAGTGAGGGTGTTGACCCCAAGCAGGGTTACAAGCTCGAGGGCAATGACCGCTACAAGAGTCCCATCCCAATCCTTTTGCTCTCGCAAGTCTTATTCTTTGCCCCAGTCCTAGTCTCTCAATTCACATCAAGAAGTTATGACAATTGTCAAGCCTCTAACTGGGGTTACAGTACGAAAAATTTTGGAGACCCACGAGTGCACTATCTACAGGATGTATGTTGAATTGCTCACCAGAGATTCCCAATGTCTAAATTGCTCTCATAACCACTACTTTTGAAGCTGTTCCAGTTCATTTCTGGTCAACAGTAAACTCAAAATTCGTCTAGACAATATCTTCAGTATTGTTACTTTGTTTTTGCTTCAAATATTTTCTGCTCCTATAGCATTGTTTTTGTTTAGATATTGACACTGTCATTCAGAAATTAAGTGCATCCAACTGCAGAGGTCTTCCACAAACCAAGACACAAGCAAAAACTCCAGCGTAGTAAAGAATATATTGCATTGTCAAAAGTATGAATTTGTTAAATGCTTCCTCACTTGCTAGCTCAGTTAAAAACATTTCAATGCATCATTCAAAGAAAAGAGTTCACCTGGTATTCTGGCCAACATTCCCCATCAAACTAATACTATCAACAAATTGATTGCCATTTTTCTCATAACCACTGAAACAGATAGCAGGCTGATATATCTGTACATCAACACACTTCAAAATATGATGTCTGATGTGAAACATTGGAACACTTTGACATGAAATGCCATGTAGAAAGCAAATATTAACACTGCAAGGCAGCACACCTGAAACAAAAACTCATACTATAAAGTTGTAACTTCAAAGTTTTGCAGTAAAGATCAGACAGTGGATCAGCAATCCATATCATTCCATTATCATTCAAATGAGTGCAACAATTCCTTGCCCCTTTAACATAAAGCACCACAACATGCTTCAGAAATGTTATAAATGAATTTGACATAGTCCGCATAAAATGACATTAGTATAAAGTACTAAAGGCTCGTCAAAAAGTTAGGCTTTATGAACCTCTAAGGAGGCATGAGAAATCAAGGGGGTGCAGAAAAGAGGTATGCAAAAGGAATTCCAGAGTGTAGCATCTTAGTGCCTACAGTGGAATGATTAAAATCAAGAACCCGCAAAAGGCCAGGGAATTAGACTGCTCATAGCTGGGAGGGTTGATGAGCTGAAATAGATTACAAAGACAGAGAAGGTCAAAGCATGAGATGTGAAAACAAAGATGAAGATTTTAAAATTGAATTGCTTAACCTGAAGCCAAAATAGGTCAGTGAGTAGAAGGGTAGCTTGTGAACAGGCTTGGTATGACTTTACACATGGGCAGACTTTTGGTCAACTCAAGTTTTTGAAGAACACAAAAGAGGCAGCTGGTCAAGAGTCTAAAGGAATCAAAGATATGGATAAGGGCTTTGCACAGATGAACTGAGGCTGGAAGAGAGTTGGGACATGTCTCCATTTTCATGGAGATGGAAATAGGCGGTCTTAGTGGCAACATGGATGTGATTAAAAGTCCAAATACAATAGCAAGGTTGCAAACAATCGAGTTCAACCTGACAGTTGCCAAGGAGAGGGAAGGAATTTGTGGCTAGGGAATGGACTTGTCATGGAGATCAAATGCAAACTATCAGCACTGAGCATCATTATCTCTCTGAAATTTGACTGTAACTTCAGGGTGCTATGTATGTGCAGATGCCAGAATTATAGGATGCCATTCAAGGCTTGGACATTGGCTGTACCATAACCAATCCCTCTTCCAACCCCACCAGAGATGCTCGTAATTGAAATCAGCAAGAATTTCAGCTTTTCTGCTCCAACCTTGCTTTAAATATCATTAAGTGTTACATCTTGTTCAATCAGGGTATTTTTTTGAAAAGTAGTGGCACAATTAATGAAATGTGATGAGCAACAAAGCTAACTGTAGAAATTAAAGTATTATTCTATGGACTGCTGTTAACTGACAAATTAACAGATTTTTAAAAACTAAATTGAAGTCTTAAATTTTGCCCTGTATTTTAGCTTTTACCTTTATTTTACATATATCCCAAATTTTAACCTAAAGGTTAAAGTGAAAACAGGGTAGCTAACAGAAGGAATTGTGAACAGCTAACTTTTAAAGAGAACACAGTAACTGGAGAGAGCAATGGTGATATGAAATGCCAGGGGAGTTCCATCATGTCAGGACAAATGGCTAAAGGTTGAGAGGTAAGGAAACATAGTGTACTAGAGATTTGAAAGCAGAGGATGTGAGCAGGGATATTGGACCTCAAGATATTGCAAAGATATGCAGTAATGTCACAGTGGGATGGAATGGGCAAGCAATGAGATTGTTCAGGACAGGGGTAAATGGAGATTGGCAAAGATTAGTGGGAAAAGTGGATGAGTATTTGCATTGAATTTGATGAAGGGCATTGTGGCACAGTGACCAACACTGCTGCCTCTCAGCACCAGGGACCAAGGTTCAATTCTAACGATGGGTGACTGTGAAGCATGTGGAGTTTGCACATTCTCCCCATGTCTGCATGGGTTTCTACCAGGTGCTCCATTTTCCTCCCACTGTCCAAAGATATGCAGATTAGGTGGATTGGCCATGCTAAATTGCTCCAAAGATGTGCAGACTAGGTGGGTTAGCCATGACAAGCTGGCTTAGAGGGACAGGACGAGGGGCAGTGGTTCGGGATGGGATGCTCTTTGGAGGGTCAGTGCAGACTCGATGGGCCAAGTGGCCTCTTTCTGCACTGTAGGGGTTCTATGATTCTAGAAGGGTTTATAAACAGAGTCCTTGATATATTGAGGAAATGAGTAACAAACTAAAGCTAGACAGTGGTGCATACAGGTGTAGAGACAGGCATTCTACTGATGAATGAAATTTGAAGTTTGTTTCAGCTGGGAACTATCAGGTTGAGTATCACTAAGTAGAAATAGAGCCAGATGATAAATTGAACAGTTTTTAAACTCTGGCATTGCTGTCATTGAACTTCTAAGCCATTAATGTCAACAGTTACGCATAATCGTAGGGAACCATCAGTAATGTTATGGATAATATCAGTGGCTAGCAAGATAGAGATGAGAAACAAAAGTTTGGAACTTGTTTTGCACACATATAGATTGCACCTGGTGAGAAGGCATTACGGATGTGCTGGCCATAGGCAGATCATGAAAGAGTGGTCAAAATGGAAGATGACATGATTCATCATGTCAAAGGCCAGAGAAGACAAACTAATGCACCATGCCATGATACAGCTTTGATCATCATGATTTTGGTGCTCTAAGTAGGCTGGAAAGTGGGGCAAGAGAGGGGTAAACTTGAATAGATTTCAAGAGACTGCTTGGAGAGTTGGGCACGATGAAAGCCCAGAGAGCCACAGGTAGTGCTCTCTCATTACAGAGATGATTGGTAGTGAGTTTAACCTGAGGGTCACTGCACCTCAGGCAGAGTTGGAAATTTCAACCTTTATGGGAATTGAACCTATGCTGTCAGTGTCACTTTGCACTGGAAACTAGCCGTCCAGACAACTGAGCTTACAATTCCTGCAAATTATTTTAATCTACTTGCTCACACATGTTACACCAAACTTCCAGGGCATGTGGTACTTGAACTTAAAACTATTGACGCTACTATAGTGTCACAAAACAATGGGATCGCAGTGGGGACAACACATTTTGGAAGACTAAAGGACCAAGGGTCCACTGGGAGGTTTAACGAACAGAGTAATTTACAGTTTGAAAAGGAGTGGCAGGCAGCAGCACCCATGACCCGAAACGTTGACTTCCCTGCTCCTCGGGTACTGCCTGACTTGCTGTGCTTTTGCAGCTCCATATTTATTGGCTCGAGGTTCAAAACCTCGGGAAACACCACTCAGGGCTGAACCACAAGCAACACCCTAACCCCTTCCACAACGAGCAGCTAGCTCCCCCTCTCTAACTGGGGTCAACACTCCCTTCCTTCTACCTGCCAGACGGCTCCCACTTTCCCCAAAGACGGAAGGGAGGGGGGAGAGGAGAAGCCACGTCCTCATGGAGCGCTTGGTTTTTCTCGGTGTCTCTCGCGACCGCCACCCCGGCTCACGGCGCTCTAGGCCGGAGTGAGTGAGTGAGGAAGACAGCGGGCTGTGCCCACCCCATGCCCCCTTCACCTTTCCCTTGCCCCGGTTACCTGCTGCTCCCATTGTCACGGCGCCTCAGGGAGAGGGGGAGGAGGTCACCCAACCAGAGGAGGGGGGGGCGGGGGGAAAGCGAGGTCAAACCTACTACATATCCACTTCCGGGTTATCGGACTCATCCATTTCTTGAGGGGGGAAGTGGGGAGGAAGCGGAATGAACATAAACACTGAAACAGTTCACGGTGAAGACATTAATCGATTCATTTTTGCTCTGAGTAGTATTCACTAAATTATTAAATCCGTATTACAAACAGCTCCCTGTTTCCGTCGGCGGCCGAAGGTAGAGAATGACATCCCCCTCTCCCTTCATCATCCCTGTACTCCGCACTGTCGGTGTGTTTGATGAAATTAGTCGAAGTTATTAAATGTGTTAAATTGAAAGAGATGGTCAATTTCGGAATTGCTTTTGATGGACGAATATAAGTTGTAAATGTACATTTTTCAGGGATTTGTCTGACCAAGCTGGATGTGGTGTGGATGTGTTGGGAGCCGATTGGTTGCCGTGGGCGGTCAATCATCGAACCCCCGCCCCCCGGCGTCACGTGAGCACGGCCGTCACGTGTGTTCGCTCCAGCGTCTGTTCATGGAGGCATTTCATTCATTGATCAGGAAGGAGTTTGGAAAGAAATTCCAAGTTTAATTTCTAGTGGATTCTAAGGCCCTAAGGTGTTAATGTTGGATTGCTTCCCCTTCCCCCCAGTCAGCTTGTTCAGAGACTAAAACAAAGTTGCTGGAAAAGCTCAGCGGGTCTGGCAGCATCTGTGAAGGAGAAAACAGAGTTAACGTTTCGGGTCCGGTGACCCTTCCTCAGAACTGATGGTGACTGGGAAAACGTCAGTTTATATGCAGAAAATAGGGGAAGGGGGGTGGGGTAGGGAGTAAATGATAGGATAGAGCCTAAAGAGAGAGAAGAGCAGTTGGACAGACAAAGAGTTGATAATGATCAGGCTAGGAGGGTGAGTAGTTGTTAATGGGGACTGTTAGTGACTAACAGGGGGTGTGTAATGGCAGGCTGTGTGGTAGCAAGGCCTGGTGTGTGGTGTGTGGGGCTGGAACATGGGAGAGTTTAGGCCCTAAAATTATAGAACTCAATATTGAGTCCAGAGGGATGTAGGGTCCCCAAGCGGAAAATGAGGTGTTGTTCCTCTAGCTTGCGTTGGGCTTCACTGGAACACTGCAGCAAGCCAGAGACAGAGATTGTTAGCAACTCCTTTGTCTGTCCAACTGTCTTTCTCTCTCTTTGGGCTCTATCCTATCGTTTACTCCCTACCCCACCCACTTCCCTATTTTCTGCATATAAACTGACGTTTTCCCAGCCACCATCAGTTCTGAGGAAGAGTCACCGGACCCGAAACGTTAACTCTTGTTTTCTCCTTCACAGATGCTGCCAGGCCTGCTCAGCTTTTCCAGCAACTTTGTTTTTGTTCCTGATTTACAGCATCCGCAGTTCTTTTGGTTTTTATTTAGCTTGTTCAGAGATGTTATTGCACACCTCTGGAGCAGGTGGGACTTGAACCCAAACCCCCTGGCCCAGAGGTAGGGACACCACCACAGAGCCCTAAAGTGTCAATGTTGGAGACTGCATTTAGTGCCAGCCTCATGCAAGCACGGAGAGGTGTGATCACCTAACATGAAGTCCTATCCCACAGGTTCGGTAAAAAATGTTTATTACTGAGGTAGCTTTTGAATCAGAATGGAATCACAGAAATTAGGAGTTGGAGTAGGTTGTTTGACCCTGCTCCATCATTCAGTATGATCTTGGCCAATCCTCTGCCTCAACACCATATTCCCACTTTCTCTCCACCCCCCTTGATGACTTTAATGTCTAAATAATTTTAAATTTCTTTCTTGAATCTACAAGGGGTATGGGGAAAAAGCAGAAAAGTGCAGTTGAGGGTTATCAAATCAGCCCTGATCTCATTGAATGGCGGAGAAGATTCAATGATGGGCAGAGTGGCCTACTATCTTCCAATGTTTTATGCATTTATCGAGTAAATGAAACAGTTTGATGAAGAGTCACCAATCTGAAAACATTAATGTTGCTTTTTCCCCACAGGCCTGCAGAGTTTCGCCAGCAATTTCTGTTTTTGGAACGTGAATCTGATTGGTATCATAACAACAAACTACATCAAGTTAATTAAGCGGCTTTTGTTATGACTTATTGTACTTTTTGTGCTACAGTGGTAGTGTCCATACCCCTGAACTCAGAGACCCGAGTTCAGGTCTCACCTGCTTCAGAGGAGTGTAATAACATCTCTGAACAGGTTAATTACAAAAAAAAGTAGATTGGTAACATCAATTAGGTTCACGGGATGTTGGCATCGCTGATAAAGCCGCATTTATTCCCCATCTCTAATTGCCAGAGGACAGTAAAGAGCCATATTACTCTGCATCTGGAGTCATATGTAGGCTAGACCAGGTAAAAATGACAACTTCCTTCCCTAAAGGGGAAGTGAACCAGGTAGGTTTTTCCAACAAGCGACAATAGATTTATGGTCATCATAAGGCTCTTAATTCCAAATTTTTTTTGAATTCAAACTCCACTATCTGCTACAGCAGGATTCAAACCCAGGTTCCCCAACTTTACTTGGGTCTGTAGATTAATAGTCTAGCAATAATTCCACTAGGCCATCACTGCCTAATTCCATTATGAATCATATACCTTGCACGCCTGTCGCAAATATGTTTTGTATCAAGTTTAATTCAAGATTAATTTAGTTCAGTTTCAGAAATAGACATTAGCCTCATGGAAAATATTACAGATTTATAAACTTCGACCACTTTTCCCTGGGGAATATTGAACATGTAGCATCCTTACAAAAATTATTTCGTCATTTTAATAATATTGGCATCAAGCCATAAAGCACCTACCCTTCACTGATTATGAATCCTATGTCACAGGCTGTATGATTACCTCACAGTTTGAAATGGGCTGCAATAATAAAGGAGTGACTTGTATGTGCATTGATGTTTGAAAGAGCTGTTGATAAATGGGAATATTATTTTTATGTATTATGAGACAAAAACAGCTTAGAATAGAACCATATTTTTCCCCTGCAGCTTGAACAAAAAATGTAGTCACCAGTGAAGTGATTCTCCAGTTACTTTGTAACTTAGAACTCTGGTCATGGTGAAATACAGGAATCTATTGCACGTTGTATAACTGTAACATCTGTTACCATTTATATCCCTGTGCCAATTTATACAGTAAGACTATGTTAAAGGAACTCTGCCTGCACAGAAGTTTCGGCAATGAATATTTGCATGGTGGGATTTGAAGACATAGAATGTTTACCTTTTCTCATTATGCCAAGGTGTCACTTAACATTATTCTGAAATATGAGTCTCTTTTTGGCAAAAATAAAGAGCTTGATTTTACTGGGACTGGATTGCTCCCCATCCCGAAGATGAGTCGGTCCTAAAGAGACTGACTTTTCAAAGCCTGTCCTGGATCAATAACATGCTGTGGGAGGGGTAAACAGTCTTCAGACTTCTGCCCCTCAGTGCAGAAAATCCCACCTTCGAAATCTACTGACCAACCTCACTGACTGGCAATTGCAGCAGTGTTAGCAGCACTAGAGTTCTGATGGCTCCTTCTCAGGGGGCGCAGGTAGGACTTGAACCCAAGCTTCCTGATTCAGGGATATGTATACTACCACTGCATCACAAGACCCCTCTTAGAATTATTGATATTCTTAACTGTTACCTAATTGACATTTAAACACTTCAATCCACTATTATGAAACACCTCCCCAATTTAGAATTCAGCCAACTGCTCCAAATGACAAAAGCCTTAATCTTATGTAACAATTGATCGTATGGTGCCTTATCAAATGTTCTTTCCTACCCATCTGCAATTTTAAATTTTTGTGTAAATGCAATTCCCCTTGGAAAATTACAAATGAATTTTGTTCCACTAATTCTTTAGACATTGAATACCAGATGATAAAATCTTGCCATACATCTGTGTCTTTTGGTTTCTAATCCATTTGCCAGTTTCTCTTTATTGATTTGATGAAAATCCCTGATGATTTTGAACACATTTTTCATATCTTCGCTTCTCTGATCTTCACTTTATTAGTTTCTCCACAAAACTGAATCACCCATTCCCAACATCATTCTGATAAATGTCTTTAGCCCTTCTCTAAGATATTGTATATCTGATCAACAAACAAAACACAAGCTATAGGAACTGCATTGAGGCAGTGTCTTAACAGTGTCAATAACATTTGAGTGAATTGCTGAGAAATGCATGCAATCTCTCTAGACCACATTTGTTATTTGATGTACTCTGTGAAGTTTTTGCCCACAATTTATCTGTTAAGCCATATTTGTCTCATTTTCATTCTGGATGTTAGAGTATAATTATATCTACTTTATAAATCTTTATGCTTTGTTAACTTTGGACAGTGATATTTATTTTACCTGTTCAACACAGGAATCTTGGGACATTATTCTTTTTAATCGGTACTTGTGACTTCAAACTTTGTCTACCAGATCACTAACCAGATAATAACGTAAATTTAACAATCTCTTAAAGGGATTGTAACATAAATTGTTAGTCTTTTCTGGGATCATATCAAGGGTCTGAGTCTAGCATTTTGAACGTAAATAAAGATCATTCTAAGGATATGAAGGCACTGCTGGCTAAAATGAGTTGAAAACCTGGGTTAAAAACTACAATAGCAGAGATGCAGTGTTAGACTTTTAAGGAGAAACTTAATAATTTTCAGCAAAGATTTATCCCAGTGAGAAAAAAAAGACTCTTTAGGAAGTTTGCATCCTTGTGGTTGAATAAGGAAGTTAGGAAATTGAAAGTCATAATATACAAATCTGCAAAGGTATTAGTGGTAGGTCAGAAATTTGATCTGATTTTATGACCTGCAAACATTACTCAAAAAATAGCAGAGGAATCAGAGTATGAGAGGAAGTGAGATAGTAATATAAAAATAGATAGTAAGAGTTTCTTCAAGTATTTCAGTCAGAAAAGAGTACCTAAGCCTAGTGTTGGTCACTTAGAGAGTGAATCTGGAGAAAAGGGAAACAAAGAAAGGGAAAGAGAAAGGCATCAAACAGGTAGTTTGCATCTGTGTAGAAGACATAGA